ATACCTTCCTACTGTGGTCATCAATGAATGTGACAAGTAACGGGAGCCTCCAAGCGATACTACTGGAGAAGGTCCCCACACATCTGTGTGTAAATGTTCCAGTTTTCTTACTTTCGGCGCTCTGCCACCTTTCAAGAAACTGTCCTTATTCCCTTTTCCCATAATGCAACACTCACACATGCTGAGAACAATTGACTTCAATTCTAATAGCTTCCCTGTGGATTAAAGTACTTTTATACCCATCTGACTCAAACTGACAAGCCTACAATGCGACAAATCTATTGTGCTCTTTGCAACGGTAGTATCAACACTATTGATTAAACCAGTAATCATATATAGTGTACCAATTTTCTTACCCCAAGACAGTATCAGTGCTCCTTTTGTGACCTTATAGGCGCTATCTGAGAACATACTGAATGACCATATTCATCAGGTTGTTCAACATAAATGAGGTATTTTTTCAATTTAGGAATGTGTTTGACTGTTTGCAGAGTCCATTTATTTTTATTGGGGAGCGCAATGTCAACGTCTCCCATCCCCACCACGTTCAAAGGTTCTCCATCAGCCAGATACACCCTCTCGAAGTCACCAAAACATAATTCCACATTAACTCCCTATGGGAAGATGTATGGAAGACAGCTCCTAAATCCAGTATCCAGTCATTAGCTGGACTTTGAACTAAGAGCTATAATGCATCCTGTACTTCTTCAGTTGCAACATTAACACTGACATTCTCTATCTTTTAAGATTTTTGCAATTCATTTTTATGTGGTCAGCTTTGCCACAATTCCAACAGGTTACTTGCTGATCAGGTCTTGACTTGCTCTTGCTTTTGTGCTTTGATTTTGATCTTCCTTTGTTTGAGTTATTGTCTTGTGATCTCCCTCTAAAATCAACATTCAATGTTGAACTCGAACCTGAGATCTCACCGGAGTCTTTTCTGCGCACCTCTTCAGCTAAAATCAAATCACGAATTTTATCATATTTTAGCTTAGATTTTCCAGCAGAATTGCTAACAACCATTCTCATGGCTTCCCAGCTATTTGGTAATGAAACCAATAATATCAGTGCACGTATTTCATAATCAAATTTGATTTCAACAGACGATAATTGATTTTTGATAGTATGAAAATCATTCAGATGTTGTGGAACAGACGTACCATCTGCCATCTTTATGTTCAATAATTTTTTTCATCAAGTGTACCTTATTATTACAGATGACTTTTCATACATACCTAACAAAGTTGTCATGAGATATGCATTTGTCCTTTCTTTGATGACGTCGTGTGCAACGGACCTTGACAGAGTTAATCGAATAATCCCAGAACTTGTCGATCGAACATATTTCATTCAGCCCCATCCATCTTTTATGGTCTCTTTCCCAATAACGGAAGATGAAGTTTTTTCCCATAGAGATAGTCCTCTATTTGCATACCCCAATAACTAAAATCTGTGTCATCAAACTTCTCGATCCTTGATACCTTCACTTCATTTCCAACCATCATTTTCCCTCAGATCTGAACCTTGACTCTGATTCCAATTGTTGTGAAAAATGATGAAAGTTACGAGAAAAATATGAAATGAGTAGAATAACACAAAAACACAGATTTACGTGATTCGACAAATTGCTTACGTCCATAAAGTTATAGAGGATTTTATTCCTTTTAGGATTACATAGTTTCTAGAAAGGGTTACAAGACACCAACTCCACTTTACTCGTCACCTTCTTCCTCCATGTTGTCGCTGCCTGCAAGATTTCTCACTGAATTCTCTACCTTCTGCAACTGTGTCTTGCCGTTGTCGATGCCTCGGCCGAGGAGACTCTTCCAATCGCTGCAGATGATTTAGCCATCGTCAAAACCTACTTCTTCCCGCTATGCAGTAGTTCAGGTCTTCATTCTGGTTCAAACCGGAGGTGAATACTGTGTTTGCGAAACTGGAGGGGTAGGATCCATTTTTATCGTGAAAAAGGGAGTGTCGGGCGGGATCCTGCTGTAGTAGAAAAAATGGGAGAGGCACGAAGAAGCGGGATCCCGAAAAGGAAGGCACCGGTGAAGCTTTTCTAAGGGAAAGAATTTAATGAAGGAATTAAATTCGAATAACTGTCATATTAACAAAAACTGCCTGTAGGAGCAAAGTTGACCGGGCTCCACAATACACAAACATATATGAATTCAATAATTCTTTTTGATTGGATATAAGCTTTATAAAATTCAAAATTCTAACCTCTTTTTTATTTATAGTGAATAAATCTCAATTATCTTCGATAACAACAGTATGGCTGATTGAAACAAGAGATTAACTAACCTTGTAAGTGCCTCTGAATCCCAATAACTCTACCAAATAACATCATCCATTCAAATAGAATGCTTCAATTCAAGCAATATTATCCACTTTTTAAGCTGGGACTATAAAATTGTAATTCAATTCCATCAATCATTTTTAAATTCCAGCGAGGAAGCAGACATCTACATTGTTTAAAAAAAAAGTGGGGAATTTTCTAAAGCAACTCAAGGCAAAGAATCCAAGGGAACAACAGCTCAAGTGGGGAAATAAGCTTTAGTTGTGAAAAGCTGAAAAATGGTACCTTTAATTCACTGTTCATTTCCGATCTCTAGCGTTATTGGTCAATGAGGTGGTTGATGTAACATAGCTTTCCTTTTATTTGAATTTTCTTTGCTATATTTTATTGCTTCTATGTGAGATCATGCATGTGCACGGCTCATTATTTTTTCTGAAAGTAAAGTTAATTGTCGCATCGAGAGTAAATATTGTAGGCATGGCACTTTACTTCACACAGGTCTGTTGCTTAGATTCTTGATCTATGTCTGTCTGTCTGCATGACTATTATTGTACAATCTTATATTTGTTTGAATAAGCTTTTGTTTTTGTTTTGAGTTAAGAAATATATTTGTTTGAATAAGCTTTTGTTTTTGTTTTGATTTTAAGTAAAAAATGGGGTGTTTTGAGTTAAGAAAAAAAAAATTATGTTGTTTGTTTTTATTGCTGAAAAAAAATATTCTTAGAGCAAGATTTCTGAAAGAAAAAAGGAAAAAACAATGAAATGAAATTATTTTTTAAATAAATATTTAAATTTATATATTTTTGTAACTTTATAGTGAGTGATTTTAATAAATGTTACATTATTTTTTTGCAATAATCCTTTTCATTAAAATTTGAATAGAAAAGAATAAATTGTTTCTGCTCGAGCTAGTATAAAACACACATAGCTTTTGTTTAATTGTTACAAATTTAATTATTAATGAACACGAAGCAGAAGATATCAGCAAATGCACTGGAACATCACAACTGACGAACAAATACTTCTAACTATATGTAAAAGAAATACAAGAATAAATAAGAAACCAACATGGAAAGAACAAACAATGACCAACCACTCTTCTATTATTCATTCTCAAACCTTCAGTGGGAAGTCCTTGCAAGAGCTTGTCATCCCTACTCATCATGGAAATGCTTACCAAAACCAAGAAGGATTGTAGGGCACCCACCATTACTTGTCTTGCGATACTTTGGCTAGGATTATTAACCCTATCGTCAGCATTCCGCTGCAAAATGCTCTCATAACACTGAATACAGAGATGAAGAGCTTGGGACAAGGACCTCCCTCTTCTCTGACCCCTCTTTATTCCACTACTAACACTATAACCTGAATCATATTAAGATAAGAGAAAAATCAGCTCATCTTAAGTTATAGACTCATGACAATGAGAATTAGAATATGAAAAGGAATGGGATGATTAAACTTACTTGGTAGATGAGGGGAAGGGAACGTTAATTGATTTATGTCTAATAGGGGTTTGGTGGTGGAGGAGAGGAGTAGATATAGGTTTGAGGTGGAGACTGTAGTGGTGGTGGTGGGGAAATATAGTGGTAAGGAGGTGGAGGGGATGGTGATGGTGGAGGAGGGGACTTGTAGTAGTATGGAGGCGGGGGAGATGGTGACGGTGGAGGAGGTGAATTGTAGTAATAGGGTGGTGGAGGGGATGGTGATGGTGGTGGTGGGGAGTTGTAATGGTATGGGGGTGGAGGGGAAGGCGATGGGGGAGGAGGTGATTGGTAATGGTATGGAGGTGGAGGGGATGGTGAGGGTGGTGGAGGTGATTGGTAGTAGTATGGTGGTGGAGGAGATGGCGTGGAGGTGATTGGTAGTAGTATGGTGGTGGAGGAGAATTGTAGTGGTATGGAGGTGGAGGGGGTGGTGATGGTGGAGGAGGCGAATTGTAATGGTATGGTGGTGGCGGAGAAGGTGATGGGGGTGGAGGTGACTTGTAGTAGTATGGTGGAGGAGGTGACGATGCTGGTGGTGGTGGAGAGTTGTAGTGGTAAGGAGGTGGCGGAGGTGGTGATGGCGGAGGAGGTGACTTGTAGTAGTATGGTGGAGGAGGGGATTGTGATGGTGGTGGGGGAGAGTTGTAGTGGTAAGGAGGAGGAGGAGATGGTAACGGCGGAGGAGGTGACTTGTAGTAGTATGGTGGAGGAGGAGATGATAATGGTGGTGGGGGAGAGTTGTAGTGGTACGGAGGCGGTGGCGATGGTGATGGCGGAGGAGGTGAATTGTAGTGGTATGGTGGTGGAGGAGATGGTGATGGTGGTGGTGGTGGGGGAGAGTTGTAGTGGTATGGAGGAGGTGGAGATGGTGATGGCGGAGGAGGTGAATTGTAGTAGTATGGTGGCGGAGGAGACGGTGATGGTGGTGGGGGAGAGTTGTATCGGTAAGGAGGTGGTGGAGATGGTGATGGTGGAGGTGGAGACTTATAGTAGTATGGTGGGGGAGGAGATGGTGATGGCGGTGGGGGAGATTTGTAGTGGTAAGGAGGTGGTGGAGATGGTGATGGTGGAGGAGGTGAGTTGTAATAGTATGGTGGCGGAGGAGATTGTGTTGGCGGTGGGGGAGAGCTGTAGTGATACGGAGGCGGTGGAGATGGCGATGGCGGAGGAGGTGAATTGTAGTGGTATGGTGGTGGAGGAGACGGTGATTGTGGTGGGGGAGAGTTGTAGTGGTAAGGAGGCGGTGGGGATGGTGATGGTGGAGGAGGTGACTTGTAGTAGTATGGTGGAGGAGGAGATGGTGATGGAGGTGGGGGAGAGTTATAGTGGTAAGGAGGCGGTGGAGATGACGATGGTGGAGGTGGTGACTTGTAGTAGTATGGTAGAGGAGGAGACTGGCGGTGGAGATGGTGATGGCGGAGGAGGTGACTTGTAGTAGTAGGGTGGAGGTGGTAATGGTGAAGGCGGTGGTGGAGACTTATACAAGTAGGGAGCAGGAGGTGACGATGAGGGAGGAGGAGAATTATAGTAGTATGGTGGTGATAGTGATTTCACCGGTGGCGGTGGTGAACTATAATAATAAGGGGAAGGTGGGGGAGGTGATTTATAATAGTATGTAGGAGGCGGTGGGGAATTGTAGTTGTAAATTGGTGCTGGTGGTGGTGAGTGGTGGTAGGACTTCTTGCATT